AGTGGGCAGCGGTGCTGGAGGTTCCGCGGCGGCTGGGGCAGCACTGGCGGCCGCTCTTCTGGAGGTTTTGGGCGGCATGACGCCCTCGCAGGGCAGGAGACAGCGAGCTGTGGAGCAGCGCGGAGGAGGGCGACGCGCGCGCACGTCGGGGCACGCCCAGCCGGCTCCCGACTCCCGTTACAAAAATAATTTGAACGTCCCCTGAGAAAAACCGGACGCGCCCTCCCCCGCCCGGCAACCCAGCGCCGCGTCCAACCGCGGGAAAACGTCACTTCCGCCCGCGGCGTCACGTCCGCGAGGCTCCCGGGCTCGAAGGCGTCTGGAGGGGACCTGGGCGCTGGGTGATGCGCCGGCTAGGGCGCCAGGTCGCGGGGGCTGGGCGGGGACGCTTGGCTCGGCGCCAGGCGCCTTCTCGGAAGCAACCGCGGCGGCCTAGACGTGTTTGAACCCGAAGCTCTCCACCGAAGGCCGCTGTGCCTGTAATGGGGCTTTTCAAAAGTCTCGGGTTAACACTGGTCCGGTCTCTATCCGTCGGTCTGATTAGGGCTGAAAATCGCCCTGCAGGGAATATCGGGCCATTGCACCCTAGGCGGGCACGCCTTTCTCCCTCCGTGGGCTACGCCCCTGTTCCCCACTAGACTATCCAAGCAAAGTCAGGCAGGAAAAAAAAAAGTGCAACACCTAATAGGTGCTGAACTTTGCAATCACCAGAAGATAAAAAATATAGGACAATTGCTGGCCTTTCGGGATATTGGTTAGGGGTCTTGCTGTGGGTGCAGATGGAGTGTAATAAAAGGGCTGTCTAGTGGCGTCAAAACAGGAGGCACCATCCAGTCTAAGGAGAGCAGAGCAGCAGCGGGATTTTTAAAAAGTTTGTCAGGCCAACCTAACATTTAGTGTAGGATTCGCTCTGTACCAGGGACTGTGCTGGCCACCTTACATTATTGAATCCTTAAGAACAGCTCTTTAAAATGCGTAGTGTTAGCATTCTACACTGCTGATGAGGAAACAGGCTCAGAGGAGTTAGTTTGCTTATCACAGAGCGGGTGGGTGCCAGGACTAGAGCACAACTATATTTGGTTCCACTTATCCATTACATTCTATTGACGAAGAAAAGCTGGGAGAAGTAGCATTCACAAGGGCACAAAGAAAAAATGATTGTTGGAACTAGCACCATCAAGCAGTGAGTTGGAAGTATCTTTCTGGGCCTGCTAGTGGCCTAGTGGTTAAAGATCTGGATTGCTCAGGACCAGCAGTTGGCTATGTCGCTGGACTCCCATGTAGTCCACCACAGCTCAAGTCCTGGGCCTAGTGGCTTAAACTCGCACAGGGGGCATGTCCATGGGTGTCCAAGATCCTGAGAGGAAAATGGAGAAGAGATTGCCGTGTGGCCATCCACACTGGGGAGTGATTTCTCGCTTTTTCTCATCTCTTTCTTGTGAGCGCACCCTATACCAAAAACCTCTCAAGAAAAAAAAAATAATAATAATAATAAAAAGGTCTGGATTCCACATGGCTGGTTGTAGATGGAATCCTACCCCTTGACTTGACAAACATGCTGGTCAGGTGGATGGTGTGGGGGTGCCCAGAATCCCATGGGATGGAGAAATGGATGAGAAAGGAGACAGCCTACACCCTTTAAAGAGAAAGGAGGCTCCCTACACCACATAGGGGGCTGCTTCCTCCCTCTCCCTCCGTCTCTCTCTGCTGTCTCTTTCTCTCTCCCTGCCAAGCACAGGCACCTTCTGGCACTTTAAAAAAAAAATAAGTAGTATAACTTCTGTCTCTTGACTTGAAGTAGTATATATTCAGTCATCCCTCTGATCAGTGGCATACTGTTCCCAGACACTCTTATAATAGCCAAATTCATGATGCTCAAGTCTCCTACATGAAATGGAATAGTATTTATGTATACTCTACATAGACTGTTCTGTATTATTTAAATCATCTTCAGATTATTTATAATACCTAGTAGAATGTAAAAGTTATGTGAATGGTTGTACTGAATTGTTTTTTATTTACATAATTTTTATCGTCATTTAAAAATTTTTTTTAATTTAGTTTTTGATCCATGGCTGGCTGAATCTGTGGATGAGGAGTCCATAGATACTATATACATATTAGTAGTTGTCTACCTCAAATACATGGTTTCTTCTCTTTAGAAGACACTGTTAGTAGGCCTACTCAGAAGTCCTCAACTGAGGTGCTGGGAATAAAGTCCAGTTGAAGCCTCTCATCCTGGAACAGCTGAGAAGGTTCTGAGACAGCAAAAGCTTCAAGCAGGCATGGCTGCAAGCCTTCTGGGTTTGTCCCACCAAGTTGTACGATGGATGATCATTTTCTGTGTGCCATGATAGATGCCAGAATATGTAGTCTTCACAAGCTCTGGCCTGTGTAACAGCCAGGCCTGCCTAACTTCAGATCCCTGTCTGTGGGGGCCAAATGTCTGTCAGGAGGTAGAGTGTGGGAAGCTCCGCACCAGCAAGTCAGCCGATGTTTCTCAGAGAGCAAACAATTACCATGATTGGTTCCCTTCCAAAAACCTGACCTTCGAAACCTTGCTCTGATTGGCCACTAGAATCCCTCAAACTTGCATATCTGGCACCTCATGATTGGTTCAAAAGCAACCAATCATAACCCTCCATTAACAACCAATCAGGGCCCACCATTTACAACCAATCACAGTTCACTGTTTACAACCAATCACGACCCACCGTTTACAACCCACCAGAGTGTATATAATCACGATGCCTGGCCCACAGTAGCCAGACGACACAGATGACCGAGAAGACGACACAGACGACCGACAACGACTAGGAAGACGACAACTGAAGAGCCTGAAGGGCTGAAACACCGCGCAGTCTCCAGACCACCCTGAAGATCCCGAAGAGCTGACACTGCATCGTCTCCAGACGACTTGGGAGACCCTGAAGAACTGTAACACTACATCGTCTCCGGACGACCCTGAAGAGCTGTGACACCGCGTCGTCTCCGTGCTGCTCACAGTAGACGACGCAACACTGCGTCGTCTCTGTGCTGTACCGTGCTGCCCACAATAAATGGATGACACTGTCGTCTCTGTGCTGTAACACTACGCCGCTTGTCCTGGCTCTCACTCCTTCACTCAGGAAACCTGTTCGGCTGTCCCCCCGAGTCGGGACAGTAGAGTCCAGGCCCAGCTACAGAGAATGAACACAATTACAATGGCAGTCCTGTTAACCTTTCCCTAGATTCATTTAAGCAAAAGCTCAGTATGCAATTTTGACCTCTAGAAGATGAAGGACAGAGAGTCTGCTGGGAGTCTGATAAAACGAGATATACGGATGCCTCAGTTTACCCCCTTTATTATCATGAGGATGCAGACTTAGGAATTGCTGCAAAAATAAGGAGGGCAGGAGAGTGGAGGAAAGGTTTAAGAATTTAAACAAACTCTTTTCCCATGTAGGCATGACTTGCTTTATTTAAATCCATTTTTATCAACATTTGAATTTACCACACTTATGAGAAAACAAAGGGAGATTTCTCAATTTACAAAAGGATGTGTGTCCTTGCTATAGACTAATTTAACTATGTTCCCTAGTCCTTTCGAAATGTATTTTCCTTCCACAAAGCTCAGGAGCAACTAAGTCAATCAAAAACCTTACAATTCCCCCACACAGTTTTCTCTTATACTAACAAGGAAGTGTTAGAAATTCTACAGATTCTTTATTATTATTATTATGCCTTTAAGACAAGGTCTCACTATGTCACTGTTTTTCTGTCTCAGCCTCTGGAGTAGCTGGGACTACAGGCCCACACAAGCAGGCCTGGCTTTTCAAGTGAACCAGGAGTGAAACCCAGGCCTCCCACGTGGCCTCAGCCTATGGAGCAGCATCTTACCAATGTGTGCCTATACAGCTGAACTTCCGCCGATGCTTGAAGGCGGTTTCCCCAGGTCTCTCCCCACTTGCCTAGTACTTTTAAGAAGATTGCTGTTAAGAACAAAAAAGCCTATTATTTTGATTTCCTATTGGGAGAATAAACTCTCCTTAGCTCAAGACCTTTTTAGTAAATTTAGTTTAAATTTAGCAAATTTACAGTAAAATATAGTCTAAAAAATGTTTTCTGAGTCTCCACCAGTCTGAAAAGTCTTCCTTCAGCACTTTTGCATCCCTAGGCTGCCACACTAACTCTCTCTCTTTACCATCTAGCTTCTTGAAGGGGTAGTCCCCATTGGTTATATTTCCCCAATTCTTCGATCTACTTGTTCCTGGATTCTTCTATGACCACCCACCAGCATTCTGCTGAAATCACTGATGCCCTAATTGCCAATCCAGTGGGTTCTTTTCCATCCTCAATCTTTTCTAGCAATTAACACAATTAACTACTTCCTCTTTCTTAAAAGTTCCCTGGTCTTCCAGGAGCCCACAGTCTCCTTGTTCTCTGTTTTGTTACCTCATAAACTTCTTCACTAGTTCTTTTTCTCCTGGTCACTAGTTCTTTTGCTCCTGGTACCTTCAATGCAGGTACTCCGTAGAACAGTGCACTCGAAGTATGGTCCTTGGACCAGCGCCAGTCTGTAAGCTGTTTGTGCTTAGTCCACAAGGAAATAAGTAAAGAAATTAAAAATAAGTGCTGAGTTAGCCCATGGCCTTCTGGTTAAGGCAGCTGACCTACATAGACAACAAAGGAGTTCAAGTCCTAGACCTAGAGGCTTGAAAAACATACAGGCATCTGTGCGTGTGTGCCCAAAAATCCCAACAGGAGGAAGAAATGGAGGCGAAGGCATTGCAGCATGACTGTGCCTCAGGGATGGTGCTTTCTCTCTTTCACTGTTGAGCATATGTGCCCTCTAGCAAATTAAAAGGAAAAAGTATTTAGCAGTGTTCAGAGCAATTTGACACTTCAGTAATACTCAAATACACAATCATAGGACATCTTTCATAAAACAGAGGATGTAACAGTTCCAATTGTTCTCCAACTTGCCTGGTGAGTTCAGGTGGCATAATTCTGTCCTTATTATTCACTGTAGGACACATAACAATGAGTGACATTTTAAGGTTAGGTTGTTACCTGCAACCCAAAAGGGAATAAAATCTGTGAAAATGTAAATATTTGTTTACTTTTATAATTTGCTATTTTTACAGTCATTTGAATCCCTTCTCTCTTTTTTGGACAGAGGTGGAATGGAAAGAGAAAAGAAAAGAAAGGGTCCGAGATAAGCATTTATGTTTTTCCAACAGGGTCGTGCCAGTACCATGATCATTCTGCCCTAGCCTCTCAATTAG